GGGTGTGGGTGTGGGTGTGGGTGTGGGTGTGGGTGGTGTGGGTGTGGGTGTGGGTGTGGGTGTGGGTGTGGGTGTGGGTGTGGGTGTGGGTGGGTGTGGGGTGGGTGTGGGTGTGGGTGTGGGTGTGGGTGTGGGTGTGGGTGTGGGTGTGGGTGTGGGTGTGGGTGTGGGTGTGGGCTGTGGATGTGGATGTGGGTGTGGGATGTGGATGTGGGTGTGGTTCGTCTCTTGACCGATAGACACCACCACATCCACACTCATGCCCACGCCTACTCACCCACACCCACCCACACCCACATCCACATCCATACCAACACCCACACCCACCGACACCGACATTCACACCCACATTCACACCCACACCCACATCCACACCCACAGCCCACACCCACACCCACACCCACACCCACACCCACACCCTCTTTAGATAACTGCTTAGTCCGTTTTATTCACAAGGATCAAATTTCTTATAAAAAAAATCATAAATGTGGAAGCAGGTATAAAAAACTGACGCTAATTACATATAAGCCAAATATTTTCGACAAAATTTCGTTGCATCTAAAAGTTTGATTGGTGATGCCTCTCACGGTTTACTGCTGATACATAAAGCCAATGAAAACGTAAATTTAACTGAAACAAGTCAGGTCCAGATTTTCAAAATTCTACTTAAATTGAAGAAGCAGAATGAATAAATAATTAAAACAATGGTTTGAGTAACTCTACATTCTAGTGTAATACTGAGATGGAATATTTTCTACGATTTTGTAAGAAACAAAATTTCTCGAAATGCATCATGTATTTAAATCATCGATTGAATAATTGAAATTAGATCACTACTTCACACAGCTCACTAGTCAAGGGATTTGTGTCACTGTAGTTTTCACGTTGCGCATGTAAATAAAACATGTCAACAAAGAGAAAATATGAAAGAGTAATATTTTTCATGTGTTTCTATTTACCAATCGATAGCAGCGAGAAGATTTTTGTTTTTGGTATAGCAGCGGTCCGAAAAGAGGTAATTAAGTGATGAAATGTGTGTTCAAAAATATTTCATAGCATGAAACTGTTTCAATGTATAGTAGCGAGCTTTGAGTCCATTGCTTACAGTCCTAATCAGCTCTAGCCCACCTAATTCAAATATCATATGAATTGTAATACTCGGCTTGATTTTATTTAAATAATAAGGTGAGCGCCGATACCCAGCGCGATCATTCTTTTATGATCCACTGAATGGTTTTTATTTATTGATGACATAAAAAGTATAATTAAGAACGAAAATGTGCCCTCGTATGGCTAAAAATTTTTTATAAAAATAGTCAACGCTGAAGCAATGGTGCTCAAGGATTTATTTTTATACAAATAAAAAATTTTCTTTAACTTAAATTTGTGCTCCTTCTTGACAGGGGGGGGGGCGGGGTGAATCAATGTGAGTAACGAGCAAACTGCCTATATAAGTGACAAGAAAAACATATTTTTCTATTGCGTTGCAAATTCGACCGGTGAAGTGTAGTTGTTAGATCTCTTGTCTTGTGTAATTAAACAAAATCCATTGATGCCGATCCATTACTATATCTCTCACCGAAAGACTGAAATAAAACGTCGTATCGATGGCATGCTAGCATCAACACGCATGCCTAGTGATGAAAAATTACAACAAAAATTTTCTGATCATATGACACTAAATCAATCATCATTACCACGTAAAATTAATCTTCGTTCTGAGATGACACCTGTTGAAGATCAATCTCAAATTGGTAGTTGGTATGTATGAATAATATCATGCGATTTTTCTAGATTAACATATTTGAAATATATTTTGATTTAGTGTCGCGAATTCTTTCGCAGGTAGGCATCTTTTTTTCCCAATCTTTTTATCAATGCTTGATTTTTAGGAGCTTATGAATATCTATTGAAGAAAAGCAGTGGTCGTCATATTGATGTTAGTCGATTATTTATTTATTATAATGCTCGTGCCAAAGATGCATATCCACCTGGACATATCACTGATTCAGGTTGTAGTATAACAAGTGCTCTTGAAACGTTGAAAGAATTAGGTACTTGTGAGGAATCATTGTGGCCTTATGATTTAAACAAAGTGCATGCAAAGCCTAATGAACTAGCATACGACAAAGCATCGGAGAATCAAATCATGGATGCATTAAAGCTTAACGTAGATCTACATGAAATGAAATCATGTCTTGCACAAGGCTATCCGTTTGTATTTGGCTTAGTATTGTTCAAATCATTTGATAAGGCATCTAAGAAAGGTTATGTACCGATGCCACAAGGATATGAACGAAACCGAGAATCACATGGAAGGTTTGATTTTATTTGAATAGATGAATTTCAAGTAAAGCATAACTCATATAACTTACCATTTTAGACATGCAATGTTAGCTGTCGGTTACAATGATCAGTCAAACTCATTTATTGTTCGAAATTCGTGGTCAGCAACATGGGTAAATATGATTTTCTTTTACAGAAATATATATATATTAAAGTTTCTGTCAGGGCGATGAAGGATATTGCTATATTCCGTATGACTATATGACTAACGAGGACCTATGTTTTGAGCCATACACTGTTCGTCAATTAGAAGCTGATGACATTGGTGATCATGATAGGAATTATGATGACGATGATGATCGAAGCGACCATGAAGATAGTGATGACGATGACCATGACGATGATGATGCTGAAATCTCAGGAGTAGAGGACAACGATGACGATAGTGAGCACCACGGAGAAAACATTGGAGATGAAACACAAGAACCACAGGGCAATGTAGTAGTGCAACAACAATTCGTAATACAAGGAACAATGCAAGGGATGACGCAGGAACAAATGCAAGAAATGATCCAAGGGATGACACAGGAACAAATGCAAGAAATCATGCAAGGGATGACACAGGAACAGATGCAAGGGATGATGCAAGGGATGACACAGGAACAAATGCAAGAAAGGATGCAAGGACTATATGATCCAAACGACTCGAGTTGCCAAATCGCTTGATTTGAGCAGAGCAATGCTGGATTCTATACTTCTTTTTTTTTCTCCTTAGAAAAGGTCCGGGAAATACGAACTAGTTTTTGACATTTTCTTGTGTCGTTCTCAGGATTCTTCCTTTTCTTTCTCACCGTTAATTGTAGTTGCATATGAAATTATGAAGAAAATAAGCATAAAAAAAGCGAAATAGAAGTGTTCTGTCATTCTTCAGTTGCAATCAGTTAAAAGACACATGTTGTTTCTCTACATAAAACTAGGGTGTGGGTGGGGTGTGGGGTGTGTGGGTGTGGGTGTGGGGTGTGGGTGTGGTGTGGGTGGGGTGTGTCGGTGTGGATGGGTGTGGATGGGGTGTGTGGGTGTGGGTGTGGTGTGGGTGGGGTGTGTGGGTGTGGGTGTGGTGTGGATGGGTGTGGATGTGGGAGTCTTGTCTTCATCCACACCCACACCCACACCCCCCCCCCCCCCCCCCCCCCCCCCCCCC